CTTGGTTTTGGGGATCAAGCTCAGTTCTCATGCATACAAGCTCATTTCCCAGCCTTTGGTTTTTTGTTTTTTTTTTTTTTTTTTTTTTCCTACTTGCCATTCTATCCCAAACATCTTTATTATAAAGGTAATAACATAGTTATTATTGAAAATTTAGAAATTGCAGAGAAACTGAAAGGAGAAACAGATAGCCTGCGTTCTCTGGTTGTTCGAGTCTTGTATGTTTTCTCTACAATTTATTTTATTTTATCCTTTAATCGCAGATGTAAAAAGTGGAGGAATTCATCAAGTAAAAGATTCAGATAATTTTGAAGCAGACATGACATGAAAGTCCCTGTTACCAAAAAATTCCCCTCCTTCCCCAAAGAGAACTGTCTCAGCAGCCTGGCGGGTCTCAGATCTGCTGCTCGTGTTAGCACACGCATGATGTCCATGCTTGAGTAGCTGGAGTGTGTTATCTAGAATACATGGGTTCTTTGTGCGATTTGCACATTTGGCCATTCTCTGTGTCCCTGCATTCAGCCGTCCTGTTTCGGTGGCCGTTGGAGGCCCCGTATCTATGTCCACAGCCGCTGCTGAGGACAAGCTCCTATGTTCTCTGGGATCTAATCAGACCCTGTACGGAGATCTTTGTGCTAATGGAAGATTCTCTTTTGTTTCATTTTGTTTTTGGATTTTTTTTTTTTCTTTTTTTGAGACAGGTTGTTGCTATGTAGCCTTGGCTGGCCTGGCCTGGAACCCGATGTACACCAGGCTGGTACAGAAAGCTACCTCTCACTGGGTGGGCAGGGTATAAAGGCATGTACCACTGGGCCCAGTTTATGATTATTTCTTTATGGCAGATTTCTAGAAGTAGAATCATTCGTTGGTTAAAAGTTATTAACACTTAAATTTTTTAATGGCTATTGCCAAAATGCCCACCACAACGGCTGTGTAAGTGTACACTCTTACCACCATTGTGTGGCAAAACACGCTCACCTGCCAGCTCCGGGTATTATCTTCATATATATTTATTTTAATTGAATTTTTGTGTACTTCAAACAAAACATCTTAATCATCTTTATATCCCTCTGCCATCTAAACCCTCCCATAGCGCCTCTACCAGATTTCATGCATTCTGTCATTTATATGAAAGCCTGTCCAGTCAAGTTAGAGTACCCAGATGTCCCTCAGTGCAAGCTCATCCACTGGGGTCTAGTCAGCCTATCTAGAGTCCCTCCATGAAAGAAGATTGGCTCTCCCTAACCCAGCAGTAATCAACTGCCAGTAATTCTTGAGCTAAGATTGGGGCCTGCTGCCCAGTTTTATGCTGGATTGTCTGCTTGAGTTTGCATGGATCTTGTGCATGCTGACACAATTGCTGTAGAGTCATATGCTCAAGGTCCCAGGAGCTTGTAGGACTCTTGTTTCCATATGGTCGTGCACCTCCTCCCCTGGCTCTTACAGTCTTTGGCCCCCTCTTCCGCAGTGGTCCCTGAGCCTTGGGTGGGTAGTGTTTAACATAGGAGTCCTGTCCAAGGGAGGATATTGTCTGTTTTAATGTACAGATTTTAGTTTCTTTAAAAAATTATATATATATATATATATGTATGGTTTGAGCCAGATGATAAATAAAACATCTTTATCTTTTTATCTATCTATCGATCGATAGAGTCTAGGCTGGCCTGCAACTGGCCATCCTCTGTCTTAGCCTTCCAAATGCAGGTATTATAGGCAGATATTATACCACTCTTGGCTCCATTTTTAAAAGACTCACTTCTAGGCCAGGCACAATGGTATAACGCCTGTAATGCCAGAATGTGGGAGATGGAGGTGAGAGAATCAGGACTTCAAAGCCAGGCCAGCCTGGGTTACAAAAGACCCTGCCTCTAAAAGCAAGCAGATAGGGCCAGGTGTGGTGGTGCATATCTTTAATCCCAGTACCCTAGAGGCAGAGGCAGGCAGATCTCAGTGAGATTGAGGCCAGCCTGATCCATGTATTGAGTTCCAGGCCAGCTGGGGCTACGGGGAGACCTGTCTAAAATATAAATAAGTAAACAGATAAATATAGAAAAAGAACTTTTATTACAGAACTTTGGGGGTTTTCTTTTTTGATAAAACTTCACTGTCATAGAACCAGTAATAGTTAAGTCAACACTTTTTAAAAATTTTTTATTTTTTTTATTTTGTATGTGTGCATTGCCTGCATGTAGGTCAGTACACCCGTGTCGTGCAATGCCTGCGGAGGTCAGAAGAGGCTCTCGGATCCCCTGGGACTAGAGTTACAGACAGTTGTTAGCTGCCATGTGGGTGCTGGGATTCGAACCCAGGTCTTCTGCAAGAACAACCAGTGCTCTTAACCACTGAGCCATCTCTCCTGCCCCAAGTCAACACTTTTTAAAACTGAGTCCTACCATCCACATTTTCGCACACCCTCTTATTTTTTTCCTGTGCATACATATGCAGCCTTTTGAATACGATGAGAAGTTCATCAGAGAAGACTGACCACTGTTTACTGAACCCTCCCCTAATTTGCATATTTCCGTTACCTCTAAAATTTTGTTATTATATATAACACAGCAGTATACATCTATGTGCCTGGGACTTTTTCTGTGGTGGAAATTTCCAAAGTACCTCTTGGTTCATTTAGTGCTAGAAATTGAACCCAGGACTTCATACATTCTAGGTAAGCACTCTATCACTAAGCTATACCCTCAGCCCTGAGAGGAATTTAATTTAAACTTATCTGAGACATCATATGCATATGTAAGCCCTCATTTAGTTACCCTTGAGCAATAATTTAAGACTGGAAGTCAGAAGCTCAGAGAAGCAGGGTGACCTGCCAGTCACAGAGCTGGGTGGCCTGTGCTGAGCTGGCCTTTGCAGTTCCCCTCATCCCTGCCCCCATGTATGTGTCTTCCCAGGTCTGGGGCTTTCCTCCAGGACCCCTGCTGTGAGCACATCAGAATCAACCCCTGGCACTGGCACAGGCACCAGTACCCCATCCACACCCACCACCACCAGCCAGAGTCGCCTCATCGCCTCATCCCCCACCCTCATCTCAGGGATCACCAACCCCCCCCTCCTGGACTCCATCAAGACAATCCAGGGCCACGGCCTGCTTGGCCCCCCCAAGTCTGAACGCGGCCGCAAAAAGATCAAGGCAGAGAACCCTGGGGGTCCTCCTGTCCTTGTTGTCCCCTACCCCATCCTGGCCTCCGGTGAGACTGCCAAGGAGGGCAAGACATACAGGTAAGGGTCTCCTTGGGATGAGATCTGGGTGGGGTTAGGGTGGAGGTTGGTGCCCAGAGCTAGAAAGAGGGACTCCAGGAAATGAGGTGAGGCTAAGATCCAGGGAGTGGGGTAGAGTCCCACCCACATCTCAGGTGGTAGGGGAAGGAAGCAGGGAGGTGGAATGGTGGGTCTGCCTCATGAGAGGTGGCCTTGGTCAGACAGTACCCCTCCTGGTCTGGGATGCTAAGAGATCCTGTCCTTCCCATGAGTGTGTCTAGGCCCTGTTAAAATATCTGACAAGCTTTCACAAGCCAGGACTGGACCTCTAGAAGTTATATGTGAGTCGGGGCAGGGAGCTAGGCACCTATAGTAGTCAAAAATTTCAAGGAGATTATAATGTCTATCCAGGTTCAGAATGACTTAGCATCTGAGAACCTCATCCCCCTAGGACTGTGGGTGTGACCCTAGATGAGTCCTTCCCTGTCTTCTGTAGCCCCAGAGGGCTGCAGATGTCCCCAGATGTCAGAGTTCCCTCCAGACTGGAGGGTGTCCAGGCTGGAGCCTGCCCTTATGTCTCCTAAGTGGGCCTGTGTCCTCTGGATTCCACAAACAAAATCTGTCCCACATTCATGGTCTCTTTGATAGAGAAAGTCTCCCAAGAGATGTACCAAAAGGGACTAGGGTTCTTCCCAGGCGTGAAGCTGCCTCTTGCCCGCAGGTGTAAGGTATGCCCGCTCACCTTTTTCACCAAGTCTGAGATGCAGATCCACTCCAAGTCACATACAGAGGCCAAGCCCCACAAGTGCCCGCACTGCTCCAAGTCCTTTGCCAACGCCTCCTACCTGGCCCAGCACCTGCGAATCCACTTGGGTGTGAAACCCTACCACTGCTCCTACTGTGATAAGTCTTTCCGACAGCTCTCCCACCTCCAGCAGCATACCAGGTTGGTACCTCCCTCCCAATGCTCTGCTGTGACCCCTTGAGCTCAGGGCCTGGTATGGGGGCCGGGGGGAGGGGGACGGACGTGACACGACACTTCCAGGTGTGTGTTGCCCCAAGGGTCAAGACCAAATTCCTCTGATTGGCCTTCAAGGCTATACTTGAAGCCACCCTTGTCATCCTCACTACTGTGCTGTCCTCATCTCCAGGTAATGTACTTAACAGTGTTCTTTACCTGAGTCAACCTAGTCCCCCCTCCCCATGCTCCTCTGTCCAGCTTCCTAGAGTAGCTGGGTTAGGCATGACTTCTGTGATCCTGCAGGTCTGTGCATTCCCATTGCGTAGTGTGGGTGGTGGCATTCGGGCCGGCATAATCTCCTTCCCTCAGTGTTTTGGGAGCTGTCGAAGGCAAGGGCTTGGCGTCCTCCATCCACATCCCTAGTGGGTGGCAACACGTAAGACTGCGTAGGTACTTGTTAAATATTTGTGGACTAGATAGATCTAGTTTGAGTAGAGCACATGATTCATCTACTTAACAGATATTTACCAAGCCCCTCCCTGGTGCCAGACACAATTCTAGGAACGAAGCAGACAAAAATCCTTGCCTGATGGGGTTTATAGTCTAGCCAAGGGTATGCAAAGGAGACCCAGAGAAATTAAGGTTTGTGCACAGGAGTGGAGACATCAGAAAGACAGCTCATCAAATCCAACGGCCAGAGGCATTGAAAGAAACAAACCAACGGGTTTGGAAGATTGTAGTTCGTGTGTTCAGAGGGGAGAAACCCAGGTGGCTTGCCTGATTATCATGTCTGAAAGTGGCCAGGTCTTGACCAGTGTTCGTATGTGTGGAGTCTGTAACTTACTGACAGAGCTGTTTGTCTCTCCTGTGAGGGATTTATGCTATACAGGGGGCTCTGGCTCTCTACATTTTGTTGCTGTTGTTACTTTTAAAAATTGTTTGTTTTATAATATTGGGGATCAAACCTACAGCCTATGGGTGCTAAGCAAGCTTGCTACCACTGAGCTACTTCCTGGCCCTTTTTTTTTAAAATTATTTATTTTATGTATATGAGTGTATTGCTTGCATGTGTGTAAGTGCACCCTTGTCATACAATGCCCTGGGAGATCAGAAGAGGGGAACTGAAGTTATGGGCAGTTGTTAGCCACCACGTGGGTACCGAGAATTGAACTTGGGTCCTCTGCCAGTGCTCTTAACTGCTGAGCCATCTCTCCAGCCCTCATCCTAGCCCTTTTTAAATTTTTCTTTTGAAATGAGGGCTTGCTCTGTAGCCTAGGCAGACCTTGAACTTGTGATCTTCCTGCCTCTGCTTTCCTAGTAGCTGGGATTATATTGCCTCCAGGCCCTGCTAACCTTGTTAGTTATTCATCTAGCACAGTTATCTTTGCAACCTTTATCCCTGGGTGCAGATGTTTTATCTTGTGTGTTTCTCTGATGTTGGGTATAATGTGTAGGTTCAATAGTAAGAGTGAATGACAGCATGGCCCAGGGCAAGCCATCAGCCTGTTTCCTCATTCCTCCTCAGGCACAGATCTGACTGTGTAAGTTTGTTTCAGTAGTTTTCTGATTTTTGTCATGCCTTGATTTTTAAAAAAAATTGGCCGGTCTTATGCACATAGGTATATGTGACATGGTATTGATGAATAAGTGAAGGCCTGCTGGTTTCATAGGTTGTAGAATTACAGTATCTGACAACAAACTGCTGTCAGGAGACTGCCAAGCCCCTCGGCCAGAATTTTAATCACTATGTGTGGGAATTTTTTTTAACCTCTGCCAGATTGTGTAGCGTCAGGGATACCCTCTTTATGGAGAATAACCCTTAAGCATGCCAAAGCGCCTGTAAGTTTGTTTTCTTGTTTTGTTTCATTTATCGTTGTAAAGGTGGGAAGCGATGTACAGGTGATGGAGGCAGAAGGATCAGGAATTCAAGGCCAGCCTCAGTTATAGTGAGTTTGAGGCCAGCCTGGGCTACTTGAGACCTTGTCTAAAAACAAAACAGAACAAGAAGAAACCAACAGCACCAGCTAACAAACAAAAAAAGGCCATGGAGAACATCCAACCGTTTGCGGGAAGCCTAGAGCAGCTCACTCTCAGATGAGGTGTTATCCTATCAGGCTTGTCATGCCTAATTAAATGACATTTGTCTTTAAAAGTGACATTTCTGGCATGGTCACAGTTACAAATTTGATTTAGCCAATTATATCCCAGGAAAGAGAACAGATTCCTTCTGAGCTTACTCATAGAACTAATGATTGTGGGAAGGATGGGGTTTCATTAAAGGCACTGAATCTCCTGCAGCAATTATCCTGTGTGGTTTTTTTTTTTTTTTTCCCTGTAGCCCCAGCTGTCCTGGAACTCACTATGTAGACCAGGTTGGCCTTGAATTCACAGAGATCCTCCTGCCTCTGCCTCCCAAGTGCTGGAATCAAAGGTGTGCACCACCATACTTGACTTTGGAATTGTTTTTATTTGTTTTCTCCACAGAAAATAGAAACTTTTTTTTTTTTTTTTTTTTTTTGGTCTTTTTGAGACAGGGTCTCTCTGTAGCCCCAGCTGTCCTGGAACTCACTATGTAGATCAGGCTGGCCTTGAACTCACAGAGATCCTCCTGCCTCTGCCTCCCTAGTGCTGGGATTAAAGGCATGCAGCACCATGCCCGACTATCCGGAGTGGTTTTATAGACAAGGCCAATGACATGTATTGTTGTTTTTGAGAGAATTAGAATATTAAATTTTCTTGGTAATTGATTAGTGTATATCAGTGTTGAATTTATGTAGACAACCCCCACAAATTCTGAAGGATTAGATGCAACAGCTCACCGTTTAAGGCCTATTTTATTCTGTTCTGTTAAATATAGCTTCCTAAATTGAGGGTCAGAGATAGACCAAAGTGGGGGTGGCTCTCATGGGACTTTTAAAAGACGGAGTATTAACTATAGTGATAATTCCTAATCTTCTAACCCCATGTTGGTCTGCCCACTGGGCTGCATTGCCCTTGTCTGGACCAGAGCCTCTTGCATCTCACCACTACCCCTGGCAATGTCTGGTCTCTTCAGATGCCTGAGTCCATTGTCCGGGAAACTGAAGTGGTTCCAGGTCTCCCTCAAGCTCCATTCTCTTGATGTTCCTTCAGGAGGACTCAGTTTCTGACCTGCTGCTCAGAGCAGAGGCCATAGGCAAACGTGAGGGGGAGAGGAGACCTGCTGTTAGAACAGCATGATGCTGCTCAGGTACCTGTAAGAATTAGCAGGGTCAGAAGGGAGAAGAATGAAGTCTACTCTTAAGAGCTCATGCGTGATCACTGTCTCCATCTAAGAACATGTTACACATAGGACAAAAGGGCTTGGCTCATCTTCAGGGCCTTTGAGTTTATTCCCATCTAACAAATTGAGAAGGGAAGACAAATTTGTGTGTGTGTATGTGGTACAGGGGATCAAACCCAGGGCCTTGTGCATGCTGGGCAAGTGTTCTGCTACTGAGTCACATTCCAACCCAAGACATTGTGTGTGTGTGTGTGTGTGTGTGTGTGTGGTATATGTACAAGTGTATGTGGTGTGTGCATTAGTGCAGAGTTGAGAAAAGGACACTGGGGAGTTAGGCAGGAACTCAGGGCAGGAACCTGGAGGCAGGAACTGAAGCGGACACCGTGGAGGAGCACTGCTGCCTGGCCTGTTCCTCTGGGCTTGCTCAGCTACCTTGCTTAAACATCCCGGGCCACCTAGGGAGGGCACCACCCACAGTGGGCTGGGCCTCCTTCATCAACCAGCAGTTAAGTAAATGCCCCACAGACATGCCCATAGGCCAGTCTGCTAGAGGCCATTTCTCAACTGAAGTTCCCTCTTCCCATGTGTCAAGTCGACACAACTAAAGCCAACCAGGACACCCCTCATGACCTGAATTCAGTATCTAGAACCCACATAGTGGCAGAAGAGACCCTAATTCCAAAAGCTGTCCTGTGATCTCCACGTGTATGCACATACACATGCACACATAAAATACATAAATGCAATAAAAAAAATTTAAGTGTACATTTCACGTTGTGCTGTGCTTGTAAACCCAGTACTTGGGAGCTAGAGGCAGAAGGGTCAGAAGTTCAGGGTCAACCTCAGCTATATAACAAATTTGAGGCCAGGGTTGTAGGAGACCCTGCTTCAAAACAGAAAACATGAATGTGTATTATATATTTATATGTGTATGGTACTAATCCAGAGACTGTGCTTTTTGTTGTGGGATTTGCCCCTTTTTGATACTGCAACCTTCTTAGGACATATGTTATTTTAGTGTTCGGCCAATTGAAAACAGCGAGAATACCTAACTACCCAGTCACTCTGAGCACCTCCTTTCAAATCTTTGAACCATCTGAAAAGTCCAAGAACACTTGCATCTGGAAGGTACTGTGACAGTTAAATAAATCCTTTAAGTCAGGAGACCGTTTTCCAGACTGTCCTAGACCCAGGGATTGATTTCCACTCCTGGGGGCACTTTTTTTTAAAATTTTTATTTTTTTGTCCTTCTCTATTTCTTCCCTTCATTCATGTGATTTAATTTGTAACAGTCAGTCAGGAAACAGTCTGTCAACATTTAGAAGACAGCTTCTTCTTCTTCTTTTTTTTTTTTTTTTTTTTTTTTTTTTTTTTTGTCTTTTTGAGACAGAGTCTCCCTGTAGTCCCAGGTGACCTGAACTCACTATGTAGACCAGTCTGGTCTTGAACTCACAGAGATCTGCCTGCCTATGCCTCCCAAGTGCTGGGATTAAAGGCATGTGCCACCATACCAGGCTGGTTTTTTTTTTTTTCTTTATTTATTTATTTATTCATTTATTTTTTAATTTTATGTGTAGTGTATGCATATATTGCTTGCATGTAGGTAAGTGTGCCCGTGTCATGCAACGCCCACAGAGGTCAGAAGAGGCTGTCAGATCGCCTGGGACTGAAGTAACGGACAGTTGTTAGCTGCCATGTGGGTGCTGTGATTTGAACTCGGGTC